ATCCCAACAGCCTAGCTCCATCCAGGTGGTGTTGCCGCTCCGCGGTACGATGGAGAGAATCAGTCCCGTTCCCAGTTCTGCTGTGTGCACGAGGACCACTGCCCAGCACCCTGGGAGGTTTGGGGAAACACGTGTGCCGACGTTAGGGATCGCAATACGCCTGTTGGGTTTAAGGTGTTTGGTCTGTTTGATTTGTTGGCTTTACTGTGCTCTCCAGTGGTCAAAGAGATCTGGTTCTTGGCAGTAGTCTTCTGGCTGGAAAAAAAAAAAACACATTAAAAATGCAGTGGTGGGATCTGGAGCCAAGTTCAGGGTGGAAGGAGGGCGCAGTTGATAAGAGAGGTGTCGTTCGTCACTACGAGCGGCTTGTTTAGCACAGTTCGGCCGTGGGCGGTCCTGAAACCAAACCGAGAGGTCCTGCTCGAAGTCCTGCTTCCGATGTTCCCTCCGTGTTCCCGACTGCGCCGCGTGGACAGCGTTGGGGAAGGAGTCCTTCCAGTTTTGACCCGCAGTTTCCCTCCCTGTGTTACAGGTGGGTCTGTCGAGCTATGGGAATCCTCGGCACGCGTTGCTGCTTTCCATGATGGCCGGGATGTGCGTGTCTATGTTTCTCTTCCGGGTGACGGTCACGGGCAGTTCTCCCAAGGTAACCCACACGCGAGCGGCTGACCATGAGTCGTAGGGATAGCCCGGGACCGGTGAGGAGTTTGGTGAGAGGGAGCACCACTGTTCTCCTCATCCTTCCCAAGAGCCCTAAGTTTGTTTTCCCTGTTGGTGCTACAGAGGAGCGGAATAGCAGTCGGTTGGGGTTGCTGCTGCCTCGGTGGGCTCGGGGAGCCCGCGGTACCGGCTGGAGCGTAGGCGCGACACACGTCTGCCCTGACGATTGCTGAATGAATGAAACCGCTTTTCTCCTCTTTCCTTTTTTTTCTTCTTCAGGAAAATCACTTCTGGACTGTAGCCTTGCAACCTCTAGCTGATCTTACAGGCCTGAAAGAACATGAGGTTTCTGCCTTGCGTTTTTTTTCCTCCCTCTGCCTGTGTCTGCTTTCGCTGATCTGCCCTTTTTCCTACCCTGGGAGGTCGGTTAGCGCTACAGAACTTAGAACCAGGGCATTAAGAAGAGAGAACTGTAAGTTTTGCAAAAGAAAGCTTTCCGTGTGATCGTTGGAGTACACTAACTGACTTTAAAAAGTCTGAATGTAAAACTTTTAGGTGTCTGTATAGAAGGTTCTGAGGACGTTTGTTCATCAGGTAAAACGTCGCCAGATAAGGGTCTTGTGAGTGAGGTGGGGAGGAACGGTCCTGCCCCTACAGATGCCTTCCTGCTTAACTTTGGCAAGTGCTTTCCTAACTCTTTGTTTCTGTTTCCCATCTGGAAAATAAGATGCCACTTACTTTCCCCCCGGGCGTCTTGAAATGGCGTTTATAGTTCAAAAAGCACGCTGTGATCTTGAGATGGTCAAGTTCCTTCTCTTTCGTTGTCCTTCCACAAGCGACCGACACATTCTGAGCCTGTTGTTTTCCTAGGGCGTAAGCTAACGCTGAAATTCAGACTGTTGGGGGTTTCTGGTCTTGTTTCTGCATTTGTTTAGTAACACTGACGTTATCGGATAGTGGCTTCATGCAAACAAAGATGCTCTGATGGGTCGCTTGCACCTAAAATGGGAAAAGCTTTTAGTTGGCGTCTCCAGGACTGTTTCTGAAAGTGACTCGACTCACATCTCTCTCCTGTGGGATTTCACGGGCTCATTGCCCATCTCTCTTTGATGCTCTGGTTCTTTCGGGCAAAAAAGCACATCGCGTGCGTGCGGTATAGGGGGCAGAACCGTAGGAGAGAGGAGAGCCCGCGCTGCCCAGCGAGACGGTGTGGTGGAGGTGTAGCTGGGGGGTGTGTACAGGGGTCTGCCGCAGGCTCGAGCTCTTTTGTCTGCCGGCCAGGGGGCCGACGTCAGCCCAGAAATGTCAAAACGCCCTCGTACTGCGCGTAGGAGCTGAGATTTGTCGGCAGCTGCTGATTGACAGCGGAAAGATGCTCAGATCCCGTGTCTGATCGTAACTTGTTTTGGCAGCTGTGGATCCTGACTCTGGGAGCTGTGTTTGGGTTCTGCTCGTACGGGCCGATCGCCCTGTTTGGGGTGATAGCCAACGAAAGCGCCCCTGCCAACCTGTGCGGCACCTCCCACGCCATAGTGGCCCTCATGGCCAACGGTGAGTCATGCCCGTTTCCCCGCAAAAAAACGAACAGAACCCGTGTGTGTTCTTGATGAAGCGTGGTCTTGCCCGTGGGTGCCAAGTTGCTGATGACGGGAAGCCACCTAAGAAGCAGAGATAATAGAGCTGGAAGCCTCAGGGATGCTTCCTCCTGCACCTGGCAGGATTCTGCCCTGTGCTTTAAGTTCAAACCAGGCCCGGGGGATTTTTGTAGCAAGTATCGGCAGGTAAAACTGAGATGCTGAAGCCTTGCTGGTTTTCTCTTTGTTTGTCCTTACAGTTGGGGGTTTTCTGGCTGGACTCCCCTTCAGTACCATTGCAAAGCACTACAGCTGGGCCACAGCCTTCTGGGTCGCCGAAATCACCTGTGCCGGTAGCACGGTGGCTTTCTTCTTACTGCGGAACATCCGCACCAAGATGGGCCGGATTCCCAGGAAGGCTGACTGAGGAGAAGCTGCTCGGTGAGAAGGATGCTCCCACGCCACCGTGAATGATGCTCATTTTTTGTTTAACTGGCCTAGGAGTGAGTTTACCTACTGCTGCAACCTAGATAAAAACGTCTCCATTTCTTGTCCACCGTCCCGTGCCTGAGGGCACAAGGTTCCCGCTACCGATCACTTTTTCCCTCGAGATGTGATAATTCAGCCAGTTGACATTTGCTGTGATTTTTCGCGTGCCGCCTTCTCCCGGCACTGGCGGCGAAGGAAGCAGGCTGCGCAGCCCGAGCTTCTCTCCTGGCTCCAGGTGCTGCCAACGTTTAGTTTTGCCCTTACTGTTCGTCTCGTCCCTTAACTGCCAGTCCAGCCCCGTTGGTCGGGGCGCTGCTGCCACGCTCGTGCGCCCCGTCCAGCTGCCGTAAGCGCAGCTGTCCCAGTTCACTGCGGCGTGAGCTCCCTGCGCGCTCCGGGCCCTGGAGCAGCGGCAGAGCAGTGAGTGATGATGATGATGGTTCAGCCTCACGGCTGATTTGAGAGCAGCGTCGCTTTAGCTTTCCCCGAGACGAGTTGTTAGGAGCCAGAGAGGTGTTTTGCTCCGGACGAGCGGAACACCCACGCGGTGCCGCGGCAGGGCTCGCCGCAGCACTCGGGAAACAGGCACGTTTCCAAGAAAACCTTGGCACTTCAGGGGAGAGCGTTTAGAGAAGCTCCTTCTCCCGAAGCGATCCTGCCCGGCGCGGTTTCTGCGCGCAGGGTTAATGATTTGCCAGGGAGGCAGCTTGTAGCCAGCGCTCTGCAAATCCGCCAGGAACGCTGACCCAGCAGCGGGTATTGCGACAGCTGCTGCCAGCCCACGACTCTGCCGCTGGGTCTCGTG